TCCCGGTAAATTGGTGTACCTCCTCCCTTCCTTCTTGTCATCCCCCCTTTCCCCTGCCGCATGCACGCAGCCACGAAGCGGATACACCATCCCCTCCATCGTTGACTTGCCCCATCGATCATTTCACACCGTCCCTCTTCCTTCCCTCTCTCTCGTCAGCGCGGGCCTCCGAATTGCCGCACCCCCGACCGGTTTGGACTCTTGAGCATCATCCTTGGCTTTCTCGCCCAGTTGAAGCGGGGGGATGGAGGATTTTGAAAGCGTCGGAGGAAGGGAAGAAAGGAGGCGGAGGAGGAGGAAGGAAGGAAAGAGGGGGAACATGAGTCGTGGTGGGGGAGGAAAAGGGGAAGGAGAAGAGAGGGTTGGCAAGTCGCGGAAACTAGGTACACGGCGCGTTGAAAGAAGAGACAGGGAAAGGAAAGGCCAAGGGAGGGGGAATCAGTGAATCTCTCTCTCGAAGTTGTGGTGGAGAGGGCGGGTCCGAAGGTGGGGGGGACCTAGCGAGGCCTAGGGTGAGCCCCAAGGCCAAAAAAGGGGGGCACAAGGGAGCAAAAGGAAGGGCTGAGCATAAAGGGGAGAAAGAGAGAATGAGAGGGATTGTTTTCATGTCTCGTGCATATCAACAAGCCGATGCTCCCTGCCGCCAGGCTGGATAGATGTGGAACGGGGAAAGGGAAGGACCTGGCCCCCCATATCCGCAGGTGGGAAGGGAGACGGATACAAGAAGGAAAATGGGATTGAAAGATAAGAGGGCTAGAAAGGAAGGAAAGGAGCGGAGAAGAGGCGAGCAGGGGAGGCGAAGGACGGCAACCCCCACCCATGAGCCTCGTGGGCGTTCCTCGTTTGAGTCTCCTGTGTTCGATTCTTCGCCAGGACGCTTTCATCGCACTCCGTTTTTGAACCTTTTCCATCCTGATGTTCCAATTTCATCCCTTCCCTCCCTCCCTTCCTGCCTCCCATGCCTTTTCATCTCCACATTTGCCCCCCCCCTCCCCGCGATCCCCTCCGGTACACTCCTACCATGTGCACCACCCGCGCCTCGGAGGTAGGGTGTCGTCGTGATCTCCAAACCCCTTCCTTGCGACCACATGATACGGAGGACTCTACAGGCATCTCCCTCTTCCCTTCTTTTTCACACCGCCCTTGTCCCCACCGGCTCCCTCCGCCCGCCCACCTGCATTTCCCCCGGCCGCTCCCTTACTTCCAGTCCTGACCCTCCTGAGCTTTCCCACCCGCTACTTCAGACACCTACCATCCCACCAAGCGCCCACTGGCAGCCCCCCCCCCTGAGGATGCCTATATGGCCGGCAGGTGCATGCCTCCCAGGGACATAGGCCCGTCCCTCGTCAAGGCCTCAGTGCTTGCTCTTCTTCCAGTCCATGAGCTTCTTGGCCAGATCTTCCGGGACCGAGCCCATGATCTGAGGGAGGAGGGGGGTGGCGAGGAAGGAAGAGGGTGTGTTACCAGGGATGGAGCCGACGGACACGTGGAGGAAGACAAAGGTTTTGGGGGAGGGAAGATACGGGGGAAAGAATGGGCTGTCAAGGGCGAGGGGAGGACACTAAAGCGCCCCTGCCCAGATTCCTTCCCGCTTGCCAAATTGCACTCCCAGCATGACCAAGGAGGAGTTTGGGGCATCAAGTCTCAGACAGGCTCGCTCGAGGGGGGGAAGACAAAAGAGGAAGGAGGGAACGAGTCCTTTGTCTTCCCCTCCACCTCCATCATCACACGCATTCGCGATCCAGCTTCCAAACAAAACGCATACGAGGGCGGCAGGAGGGTAAGAGCATGCAAGGCAGGCAGGC